ATAACCATCAAAAACCTCTGAGGAGATTTATATGCAGAGAGATCAATTCATTTGGCCTTAAGTAAAGGATGTATGAGGGAGATAGAGTGACGTGTAAAAACCTTTGAAAACTGTACCAACTGGGAGGCACGATGCTGGTAGCACTATGAAGAGAGACAACTACCTTCATCTTTTTAAATTTTGAACAGTTTGAAAAATCGACACATCTGGATGCTCTGTGTTAACAAACCATTATGTATGCACTTTGTAATAAAGGAGGCTAAAATTGGGTAGCCCCATGCTGACATGTTAAAAGTAAGTGGACTGTGCTTTAAAATCATGTTGATGGCACAAAACCAATCTGAAATAAAATTCTATAGTTTATCAGTAGGAGGATTAAGCAGATAAAAAGCTAGAATTATGAAATCATGGTTGGGTTACAGCTAATCTGGATAAAATTCAAACTGTTTACCATTTCAAACCTGTAACCTGAAAAGAATTATGGTTTTAATGCACCATAAAGGCACATAGATAACACAACATTCCTGATGAGGTGTTGCTTTATCAATTTATTCTTATTATAATTTATATTCTGAATATGAAAAATCTCTGTAAAGCTTCAAAACTCAAAAACCCTCAAATGCATAACCTGAGTCCCTTTTATAGTGCTTTTATGTGTTCCTTCTCTATTTAACATGTGAAACTGAGGCAGGCGTTGTTCTGAATACCAACCATGTCCCAGACGAAGTTGGCGAGCCAGTAGAGAATCGGTTGGACCCCGCTGACAAACTGCAGATGTTTGGCTTTACTGACTCGTTCCTCAATCAGGAAGAGGACAAAACTGGCCGGCACAAAGGACATGGCGAAGATTACACAGATCGACACCAAAACATCCACTGATGTGGTCATCCTGAAGGAAAACAGAAGATAAAAAAACAAAAGGTTCACTAAAAGGATTTTTTTTATTGTTTTTTTTACATTTTGGTTCATTTATATCTAACCCTTTTATTTCTCCCAACCCTTTTAATTACACAAAATGTATTTCAACTATCTAAATATATTTTCAAATGATTATATTTGATCAGACAGATAGACTGATGATGATACAGTCCAAGGTGATATTTACTAACATTGCTATCTCAGTAAGTTGCTCCTTGGTGAGGTTGAGTGGGTGATTATAAGCAGTGATGCCGTGTCTCCTCCTCTCTGCTCCTGGTGGAAGACTCGCTCTCAGCAGGCCGTTATTCATCACATTGACAAATGACACCATGGCATGCCAGCCCTTGTTGTTATACCACACCTGAGAGGTGAAAAATAAATTAAAACTTCTGCAAAATTTGTCATTCTTCTGTCAAGGAAGCATCCAAATAACATTCAGGCAATGATATTAGAGAGGGATCTACCTTCACGTTGTTTTCACTGTGCATTCCTCCCAAAAACTCTGGCAGCTTCTTCAGCAGGTGGTCCAGTGAACTGTTCTATGGTCAACATAAGAACATGTAGGCATGAGATATGTGCAAAGATAAAAATAATCACAAACATAACCCATCCTCTGAACCTGTTTGACTTGGTAACGAGTCCTGATTGCCATGACAGAGTCTTGGAGATGCTGGACCTCAGATATATTCTGGGTGGTGCTACCTCCAAGAGAGAAGCCTCCATATCTGAAACAGAAAAACTGGAGCTTGAACAGCTCTTAGACTTACAGCATTGACCTCAAAAAGCTCTCTGTTCATGCCCTCCTGATTGTGGAAGTCACACCATATCGGTCTATTTGACATGCAAGTCTTTACGTATCAGACAGAACAGAACAATTTCGTACCCTGGCTTTGGAGCAGCTGTGCTACACATTTTCCATCATTTCTTTATTTTTGTTTTAAAGGTATTCAGTGATTAAGTTGTTTTCTTCCTCCAACCTTTTCAGCTTTAGTTCATAACTTTATTTCTTTAAGCATGTCACCTTGTTCTGATTCAAAGTAAGAAACTAATAATATTCCAAATCAGCAGCAAAAGAAATAATCGGATCTAAACTCTTCAGATGACAAAGGTGCAGGTTTACCAAATTAAATCTAAATATATCTCCAAGACAAAGACTGCTGTAAAGGGGGCGGGTTTCCATGGAGATAATGTTGGACCCTTGGGTATCTAATAATACAAAATGCTGGACTCTCACTTGTTCTTAATTGATTCTGAAATGATTGTCGGTGGTTCTCTTGAACAAATGGAATCAAATTATCTCTCTTTCTAATCTTAAACCTTGAATTAGGAAGGATTCATAAAATAAATATTTAGACCAGCAAAATAATCTCCTTAATACCATCTAGAAGCTAAAGATATTTCTAATAACTACTGTGGTTTATCCAACTATTACTGTCAGTATCTGCAAGGTTTAATTGCTTCCTTTTAAAGTAGCAAAGAGACATTATTGGATTAGTATTAGAAATAATTTTTTTTGTTGCTATAATATGTAGCAAACTGGGATTTTACATGTCATTTGAATATCAATTAACATTAATGAAAAGCCAGAAGAAAGAAATTGGTGTGAGGTGGTTGAGTTATTGACATCATTATTATTTATTTAATATTCAATCCTTATAAACTTTACAGAAGGTCAGTTTGAACCTTTTGTCTTTAATTGTTTATGGAAAACAGTAACTTTAGCCTCTTACCTGAACTCGTTTACCCACTTCTTCGTTTTTAAGCTGAAAGGAAATAAAGTCAAACACTCAGTACGGAGACTTAATGTATCAAATGAAAAAAAAATCTTTTATCTTAAATTTAAGTCTTCAAAATGTTGCAGGAGTCTTATCAATGAAAATTAATCAATAAGATGATCACCATCATGTCCAACAAACAACATAAACACTTGGATTCATCCACCTTCTGTGCGGAAAAACGTTAAACAAAATATTACACAGCATAAAAGGTAAAATTTCATAAGTACCTTTTCTTGAGGATTTGCGGGTAGGTCTTAACTAGGTAATCTGAGATGTTGTATGTTGTCAGATTCTGAAGAATATCTCCAGTGGCTTTTTTCATCTGTAATACAAACAAAATAAAACAGCTTATTAAGAAACTGGAGGATAGGCTGAGAAATTAATAGCAGATTCCATTAAAAACTGAAATCTTGAGTGAATATTGATCACCTATTGATCACCTTTGTGAAAACAGGTAGGGTGTGACCATGTTTTAGTGTCTGAGCATAAGTGGGGATATTTGTTTGAAAAGTATTCATGTGATTCTCAATTATAAACCTGATCAAAGCTAACTAACTAACTAACTAAGTAACCTGCGGAGGAGGAAACCCTCCAGCACCGTCTGGGCAATCAGGAAGCATCCGGCGGGTATCCTCCGTGCTGCACTGACATTCTGGTGAAGGTCGGTCTCTGCTCCAGTTCCCTCGCTTCAGTTTCTGCCAGGTGGAGTACGATATCTGAGGCCGCGTGAAGTTGCCGCCCCTCTCAGCTTCACACTGATGACTTCTGTGGGCCAAAAGGAAACAGACCTAAGCTTCATGATTAGAATAAGCCTAAAAAATTTAAACACCTACTAAACTAATAAGAGAAACGTGTGGATAAACAAACTTTCCATCTAGAAAACCACATCTAACATTTATGTTTCCTGTCATCTGGATGAGAAGCAATGCTCTTACGTGCTGTTAAGCTCCTCCTCTTTATCCATGCACTTGGTGCCAAACCCTGGCTGGTCCAGCAAAGCTTCCAGGAGGTTCTCCATGGCTGGGTTACCAGGAGCATCATTGCTGCAAATATCAAATCAGTTGCTGGAATAATTATACAAACTATTGACTGTGATCATCCCCTGGTTTTGCGCTGGTATGTAGCCTATATTGAGAATCTTTAGGTCAAGTCTTACCTGAAGAAGGTGTACTGCTCCCCGTACATCCAAGGCTGCAACTCAAGCTCCGGGTACTTCCCAAATGGAGGAACAATAAGGCTGAAGAGCAGAGCGATCAGAACAAACACAGCAGGCAGAACAATCTGAAAATGAAACGAAGAGGTTCTAAATAAAACTTTTCATGTTTGTTATAAGAAATTACAGATAAGAACAGGCATTTTGTGGGTGACTTCATATGATCTCAGGATAACAGATTTAGCCAAGGTCCCGACCCCGAAGCTTGTTACTGTAGGTTTCCCTGTTTATAACTCTTGGTTTTTATCAAAAATAGTTAAACTGTTCTTAGGAACATCTACAGCTTTGGCTAAAAGTCATGCTTTGTGTTATTTTTAAATAAACGCTAAATTGTGGAACACATTAATACATTTCTATTAATTGTTTTTGGAAAATTAACAGGTGATTAATGATTTTAGTTCTCAAGGTGTATAGTCCTATTTTTCTGTCCAGGCGTCTTTGGAAGCAACCGTCCAACCTGAGCTAAAATCCCTCTGCGGCTCCTCCGAGCGTAAAGCCAGCGTTTGACAAAGAGAGCTCTGAGCTGCTGCCACGTCAGCCACCAGCCCGTCAGGGGAACGCCTCCTTGGCCATTCCCACTCAGCAGGTCCGTTTCCTGTGGTTCTGCAGGGAGGAACAGATTGGAAATGATCAATGTGAGCCCAGAGATGAAGATGATGGATCTGTTAGGAAGCAGATCTGCCTGATAATTATTGAATCAGACATTAAATGTCTATCTCTTTTACACTTGCATAAAAACAATAGTTATTAACATTCACTAAAATTTCTTGCAGAATATTGTTCCTGTAAGGAAGACATGCATTGTTTTAACTGTGCAAACACAACAAGCCAGGCTCTGTCTAGCATCACATGAACTAATCAAAAAATGCTGACTGTTTTTCTCTCCATTAATCATCTCCATATTCAAAACCTGATAACTGCATTTTAAATGATTTAGAAATGAACTGAGAGTTGAACCTGGGCCGACATGGGAAGCTATAAATCCATACAGTCATGATCCTGTCCTTTGTGGACTTTTTGAATTTTCATTTGCATTTCAATTTATGTAATTCTGTTTTCTTAGCAATGTTTCTTTTTCATTTTGTATCATTGCAGTTGTTTTCTAGTTATTTTTGAACAGTTTTGTGATTTTCGTGTTACTCCCTGTTGCCCCCTTGTGCTTGTTCCCTTTCCCCTAGCTCCCTTCTAGTTACTTCTAGCCACACCTGCTCCATATCAGCTCATTAGCCCTTTCTTCTGTTCCCCATATGTACACCACCTCCGCAGTTCCTCTTTGCTGGTTTCGTGTTGCTTCATTGCTTGCTCTCCATGTGTTCTTTCTCTCTGGTTTCTCTTGTTTTTTTTGTTGTTTTTTTTTGTTGTTTTTTTTTGTTCCTGGATGTTAGCCTCTGGAACCTCAATTAAATCAGCTAAACTTATATCTCCCTCCTCATTCCTGCATTTGGGTTATTTAAAACCTCCCCACAACCTGACACATGCACTGTGAAGATTAGCATCTAAAAAACATTTAGATAAAGTATGGAAATCCTTTCCGTTTTATGTTGTTGTGAATTAAATTTTCAGATGCATTTTACACAGATCTAAAAAGTCTGGATGAGTCTGAAATTAAACTTTATTATTTTAAAAGGTTCAAGTAAAGAATGGGAAAAGAATAAAAGAGATGAAAAAAAAAACATTTCTGTTTTTGTCATTTTCCTCCCTTCCTGCACGGGAAGGAGGTAAAAGAAAACATGTATTGAATCTAATTCTACAAGCAAATACAAAAAAAAACAATTTATTTCTGATTGTCTGGAAGTGTTAAAGTACCTTTCTTACGAGTTCTTTTCCTTCCTGGCAGCATAATTAAAAACAACATCCCACTTTCAGTCACACAGAAGACCAGCAGTTTGACAGTATGCCATCTGTGCAGAAGTGAATGTCTAAGATCAAGTTCCCACCTGACTCTGGTTCTTCTGGTTGATCCTCAGCTCTGGTCACTGATGGCTGCACGCTACTAGGAGGTTCTGATGCAGCATCCACACCAGTTTCCTCCGCCACTCGAAGAAAGATCTTAAAGAGGATTATAGTGTTAAACAAGTGAATCAAACACAACATATTCAAATATGAAAGACACTTTTAACAGGTAAAAGATTAAATAATTTTTTGATATAAACTCCTGACTGATTATATTATGTAAGGTAGTTACGCTTCACACACCAGGTGGCAGTAAAATGCACAGGGCAGCTTTTAGAAATAGGCCAGAAAGGCTTGGAGTGTGTGGTTCACTTATACAGAGTAAACCAATTAAGGTCATTAAGAGCACAGCCTCTCCAAAAATATCCAGCTTTTGAGGTAAGACGTTGCCGTGCATGCTCACAACCGCACACAAACCGGGTTAAGGTACAGGACAGGTCTTTTCATAGACCCACAAGCTGCACTGCTGTGTGTCATGACGCAACACTGCTTCTCCTACTGCAGCAACAACATGGCAAAGCTCCACATCTTTACTGGCTGCATTTAAACTGGGCCTCCTCATATTAAACTCTTAAAAAACAGGCTGACACTTTTTTATAAATAGTAAGACGGGTGAGATTTAAGAAGAGTTTAGTGTCATAGATAAGGGTTATAAAAACATTCATCCTAAATATTGTGCTCTTTTGAGCTAAATAAAACTATAGCTTCCTATCTGAGAGAATTTCATGGCTGTTCTTGCCCGACAAATACAAACTACATCACCTAGTCACAGTATGACACGTTTACAAAATTACAAGCTTGTATTTGTTTGTATGATGGAGTAACACAAGTAGCAACAGCTGGAAGGTGGAAAAAAATTAATACGATGATATTTAAACCATTTGGTTTATATGAAGACTGATCTAAACCTGCAGTGTGGATAGATATCTAATCTAAGACCAAGGTCTGGGGAAAAATATTTTGATGCTCTTCCACAGATTATCAACTGAGTTTAGGTTTGAAATTAGCCTTGAACATTCAAAATGACAGACCCTTATTTTCCTCTGGTACTACAGGTGTTTTTTTTTTCTTGTTTAGATTTAGATTTTAAAAGATTCTCCATCCTTTAATGTGGAATTAATTTATTGAGAGCTCAAAATAATCGAAGATCTGTGGATCTGTGCTGCTCCTCCATTGTTACCACTCCCTTCCAGCGGTCTTCCTTTGCCACACAGTGATTTTATGTTGATTGCCATATCTAAATTTGGCGTGTTTACAGCCGCACCAAATTCATGGGGGTGGATAACATACCCTCCTCTTTCTGGGGGATTTGATTTGCAAAACGATGTTTCCTCTTGACAATTATGCACCACTTAATGTAATGTAAATCCCTTTATTGTTCCACAATGGGGAAATTCGTTCTCTGCCTTTTGACCCATCCCCTTAGGGAGCAGTGGGCCTCCACTGTGTGGCGCTCAGGGAGCAATCAGGGGTTAAGGGCCTTGCTCATGGACCCAGAGTGGTTGTAGTTATGTTGTTTCATCAAAATCCTAGTGAAATTATAGGTGAAAAAAGGGGCGGAGGCTTGATAACTTTCTCAGGGACTGTTGGTTTCATATTAACTAGTATTCTTTGTATCCAGGAAGTAAAATCCCTGTACAGATATTAGTTCCATTTCCAGCTCCACAACACAGACTGGGGTCTAACCACCTCTTTAACAGGATGAAGGAAAACAAGGCAGGGTTTGTGGTTCCTGGACCTTGATTATCCACCTCTGGACTTAACCCACCTCCTCCAGTGTGCTGTCTGACAGGCCGTAGCTGCTGATGCCCAGCTCTACAAGCTTCTGGTCCAGTTTAGAAAGGAAGACAGCAAGACTGCCATCTTTGGCAGCTGCTTGCGGTAAGTTGATCATAGTTTCTCTTCTAGAGTCTTCCACTAGCCTGGCACCTGGGATGTGCTGCTGCACCAGCGCCAGCAAGGCTGCAAGGTCTGCCATAAAAATGGAAAGTCTGACAATTATCTGCTTCTGGTAGAAAGGGATAAATCACCATCATATTAATGGGTTACTTTGGAGATCAGAGGCCAGGTTAACACTCACAGGAGCTGGTCTCCTCACTCCCCAGTCCAGTGTCTTCACTTAGGGATGACTCACTGTCCTAAAACATACAGCTCAGTTAGAATTTGTTAGATAAATAAAAATAAATTAATTTTCTATAAACTTAAAACCATTTTAAATTACAAGCAAACCTTTACTAAAGAGGGGAGCTTGTTGGTGCTGGTGCTGGCACTGGTGCAGATACTGGAATTACTGGGAGTGCTGGTGCTTAGCTCTTCCCTCTTCACCACAGTGAGGTAGTAACCAGATCCCAGCTTGGACTTGAGAAAGAGCGGCGATCCGCAGCAGCAGAGCTTCCCCTTAGAGATGATGGCGATGCGGTCGCCTAGCAGCTCGGCCTCATCCATGTAGTGAGTGGACAGAATGATGGTACGATCTGAGCCATAGAGATGGCAAAAAGACAATTAGTACTGCCTAATTTGTGTAGTTGAGGTTCAAGCTGTTTATTTTACATTATAACATGTATTCTCTAAACAAAATGAACAGAGGCAGGCTGCCAGATTCTTAAGCAAAGCTATTTTTTATTAATTTTTTTTACATCCAGGCTCATCCTTTGCAACATTTCCGCTATTTCTGGAAATTTAAAATACTTTTTTTTTCTTTTTTAATCTAGTTCTACCTCTCATAGACAGTGAATTTCTCTGGTACCTTTGCGATATTTGAGCAACAGATCCCAGATCCCTCTGCGGGAATACGGGTCAACGCCAGCAGTGGGCTCATCCAGGACAACCACCTTGGAGCCCCCCACAAAAGCGATCGCAACAGACAACTTTCTCTGCATGCCGCCTGAGAGAAACACACGAGCATCAGAATGACCACTTTAAAAAAAGTGAAAACAAACAAACCTGACTTGTATAAATGCACACGGAGTGACTTTACCGGAGAGGTTTTTGGTCTGATCATGTCGTTTGTGCGAAAGGCCGACGTCCTCCAGCAAAGCGCTTATTTCAGCCATCACATTTTCTTCAGACAAGCCCTTCAGACAACCATAAAACCACACATGCTCCTCCACTGTGAGCCTGATTAAGAAAGACCAGGAGAAACGACTCGTTGAGAAGAGAAAATGTTCCTTTAAGTGAAGCCATTTTCTCAGGTCTTTTTTTTCACAACCCATAAATATGGTCATGTTTTAGACATGCTGCAGTGTTTTAAGTAGATCTCAAAAAGCTTAATCTTTGATTTAGTAAGGAGAGAAAATCCAAATCAAAAGGTCTGTGTCTGACTTAATTCTTTCATGTAATGCTCTTCCAGCTATTTCAGAGAGAATTAAAGACGTCTGAACTGCATCATTGAAGTTTTTCATCACTGGCTAAAAGCTCTGGATAAATAGTCTGCTGAGGATAAACACTCTGTATTATTATTATTATGCAAGAAGGGAGAAAAATTCATTTTTTTCCCATCATGTTGATTCTTCTGTTACATCTGAAAATGTAATTCCATTTATGCATCCTTCAGTTATGACCTGTCCATTTTCCTTATCAGAGTTTAGGCTGGATTTTTAACCACATCTCTGACTGTGTTTATCATTCCTGTTGATCAATAAAACAATTTAAATACATCAGGTTTGCCAACAGATCAAATTGACTTAAAGCACTGATTGAGAATTACAGCTGCCAAAACTGCTGGTGGATGTCAGTCAGTGTTATCTGACACCAGAGGAAATCCCTTCAGCCTGAAGGCGGCTGCAGACCAGTCAGGACCGCTTAGGATGGGAGCTACTGCAGCTTTTATAATGTCAATCAACCCTGACATCTTTAAAACCACTGTTCATTTGCCTTACATGTCAAAGAGGACATTGTGCTGTGGACACACCCCCAACGTCTTTCGGATGATGTCCATGTCGTAGCGGATGTCCATGCCCTTGACATACACAGTCCCAGCGGTGGGAGGGAACAGCCCAGTTAGGACGGATCTGACAAATAATAAAGGTTTGTAACAGCGTTCATATTCAGTCACATCAGAATCTCTTTCTGTCTCATATATCTTATAAGATCTGAATAAAAGAAGTAAGCTGAAGACTTACATGGTGGTGGTTTTGCCAGCGCCGTTGTGGCCAAGAAAGGAAGTGATCTGGCCTTCATAAAACTTCAGGTTAAGATGGTTGACAGCGACTTTCCCTCCTTTCTTGTAAATTTTCACCAAGTTTCTGATGTTCACGCCAAGATTCATAGTACTGGGATCTGTTTCAATATAATCTAAACAAAGACAAGGACTTAATCAGGGTTTTGAACAGATTTCAATAGCAATATTTTTCAGTTTAAAACTTCAAAGTTTCAAACAGTTTTAAATGCTTTACAACTAAATATCAGTGTATTATCATTATTGTCTCATTTTGAGGGAGCACAACAGCTAATAGTGGCTTCCAATTAGGCAGTGGGTCAACATGCCATATTGCCGCATCTTTTTTCTCTAACAAATTAAAGCAAGTACTGGAACAGAATGAATACAGGATCCATGATTCTTTTATTATAGAGGGGCTGAAAAGGTAGACCTATGATTTTCTTGGAACATTGTTTTAATTTTGGGGCTTTCAAAAGGATGTCTAGTGCCAACATTTTGTGGCACTAGTGACCTTAATTCACAGTAATCAATTGATGAAGACATCATCAAGAACTACAGTAGCTGGGGCACCATCTTTGCCTTATGTTTGTGATTTTTTGTTTTGTTTATATGAGAACTGATGAACAGTGTTATGTGGTTTCTCTGTGCTTAATATTCCCCACAAAGCAATAAAACTGCAAGGACTCCATTCTATTCTACCGTCAAACAGCCTGCGATACCTCTGTTTAACTGTAAACCTGTAAGAGCAAATTATCCAGTTTAAAGCTCATTGGTCGATTGTTGGACCCTGATTTAAGGAGCCAAAAACTAAGGTCTCTAAGTAATCCACCCGATTATTGGGCATTTATTTACTGGTTCCATTACTATGAAAAAGAAAATAAACTGAGTTAAAAGCAAAAATCAATTTAAAGCACCTTATTTTACTGAAATTATATTGTTTTGATCAAATCAATTTAGTTTTGGTACTTTTAAGATCACTAAAATCTGGGCAGAGCAATTAAAGAAAAAAACATATGTATATATATTGATTTTCATATAAATAAATAAAAGAAAACAAGAAGATAAACTTATCATCAAGTTAAATCTAGCCAAAATTTTTTTTTTAGACATTTATGTCAAACTGGGCTAATCTCTTAGTTTGTTACCATCATTTTCTACATGGAATTAAGCTTAAAAAAACAGTTGGATGCCACTTTTTACATACATTTTGGGTTCTCTTGACCTTTAACCTAAAAGCAATACTACTATAACTAGATACTGTTCCTCCTATCAGAGGACCAGCAGCTTATGGTACCTTCATCTTGCTCTGCTGGGGCCGGTGGGATTGGCATGCCGACTTCTAAAGGAATCCCACCCCAGTAGTTGAGCTGAAAGATGAAGTACCAGGGCCTGGGGATGCCATACTGACCTGATGAGAGAGAGAGAATACACATAAACTCCCAGATCTTCAAACCAGAGGGTGTTTTTTTGTATTTATAAGTAGTTCATTTAACTGGTTTATGACTGTATGTTTTCATGAGATTCTTACTGTTTAATATTTAAACAATCAATCTCACTAATATTACTGACCCCTTTAAACTGATTAGTGAAATCTTCAACACTTCCAAAAGAACAGTAAAATCCTAGACTAAACTCGAGACCATTTTTTATTTATGTGGAATTATCAAAACTGTAATTTTATATATTTTTTTTGTCAATGGGTTTGTTGTGTAGCAGCTGTCAGGTCGCAAAAATGTACTGACTTTTTCCTTGTTCAGTTTGGTATTCTTTGTGCTTACGACCTGACTACAGATGGCTGTGTTAGGGATGAATGACATGTAATTCAAGAAGGCAGTTCTGACTTTTTTCTCCCCCTAATTATATTATTTGTTTGTCTCTCTGTCTATCCAGGACAGCTTAATTAGAAATGAATGCCTTCCTTTACAGGATGCAACACAGAGTTTTAAAAACATTTATTATTTCCCATGAATTTAAGTGCAGAACTCCTTCTCACGTGTTCTTCCTACTGCAGCATTCGCCTCATTTGCCCACTTTTCTGTCAAACCCAAAACAGAGGTTTGGCACCAGACAATAGGTTTTCTCAAGAACAACAACAAGCTGCCAGAACATTTAAAGCAGGAAGGAGAAAAAACAGACTATTGGATAATGAAGAGAAATGATCTACCGTAAACATTTCTTTTTAGCAAAACTTTTGGTCCCCTTTAGATGTTTCTTTTTTCTCTTTTAAAACAGCTTTTATTATTTTATTTAATATTTCTTATTTCATTATATATATATATTTTATTAAAATTTATTTTATTTCTTTTATTTCTATGCATTTCTTTTTTAATGCTTTTTTAAATGCTTTTTTGGAGCACTTTGAGGCCTTTTTGGTAAAAAGTGCAGTATAAATTAAATGAATTATTATTATTTTTATTAAATGATTTAAAGAGGAATACCAAAGATCCTACGTTCTGGATGCTCTAACCTTCTGAATTGATGCATAAGACTTGGTAACATAGGTAAAACAGCAAAGTTGATCCACCTGTGGGAAATTCATTTTCATTCGGTAAAGCATTTTTTCCAATTACCTTAAAATGCTCCGCCTAAACTAAACTAAATCCATTATATATACATTATAATAAAGTCTTTTTACACTTTTGATGATAAAATAAACATAAAGCAGAAGAGTAAAAACAGAACCTTCCCTGCAATAAGGAAAAAATCTACATAAAGATCTGAATGTGTCATACCAGGAAACACCGCTTCAATGTACCAAGCTGCGAGGGCGTAGATAAAGGCGTCCACATAAAGCATAGTTATGGAGGTGGTAAAGCTGTACGTGTCGCCCTCCACAGGGCTGGCTCGCAGGTTAAACCACTGGATCCCCACACCTTGTTCCTCGTACTGAGAGAAATACTCACAGCCAAAACCAAAGGCTACAGGAGACAGAAAACTCTGAGAGAAACAAAGGGATGCGTTGTGTTAATTTGCACCTCTTCAGTCCAATTAAAAAAAACAAATTCAAAAGCTCTGAACATTTGGTTTGATGTTAAAACCACAACTTGAATGTCTTTTATCAGTATTAAATATGATATAGTATGTTCATGGATCAGAATGACCATTCTGATGGAACTGATAGTTCATGCTTGCAGCAGCTCTCCACCTGCAATCTTTTTTCCTTCCAATTCACAATTATGAAATAATTTCTGCTGTAGATCCCATACAATCCCAGTAAAATACTTTGATTTTTGGGGGCTAGAAGATGTGGTGAAGTTCAAGAAGCATAAATAGTTTGAGTATTAAGTCATAAATGCTGCCAGAAGGTATGCAAAGACTCACAGCAAAGACTCTGTGTGTTGAGGTGAGGTGGTCCCGCCAGGCGACGCACAGAACGTAGGGCAGATAGAGGCTGAAGTAGATGAGCCCCCCACAGGCGGCAGCCAGGTTGGCTTTGGAGAAGAAGGTGCTGATGAGAAAACACTGCATGATGGTGGCGGTGGCAAAAGCCATCAGGAAAAAAAAGACGACAGTCGGGTCGCTGTACGGCAATATATCACCCCACTAGGAAAGACGAGAGAAGACGGTCTTGAGTAATTTGGTAGTTATACATATGTTCAATAATAGATAAAAAATAAAGCAGATATTTGTTCCATTTAGACTCTTTGGAGCAGAAAAGTTATGTAACCTTGAGCAGAGCAATAAGGAGAACAGCAGAAATGAGGAACGGGATCAAGCTGCTGATGAGCCAGCTGAGCCACAATGTTCCTGTGCTCAGACCCATAATCCTCATGGTTTCCTTCAGCCTCGCCTCCTTCTCATACACCACACCTTTAATGATCATGGCCACCGAGTAGATCCACGCCAGAGTCATGAACAGAGGTAGGGAGCGGTTTAGTACTCGAAGGAACCTTTTAGGCAGAAAAACAAAAGTTAAATGCAGTTATTCCAATGAAGAAGAAGGACGAATGAAGGTATAAGTGGAGATTTCTGCTTTTAGGAGCAGTCAGAATTTTTTTTTTCAGCTTTGCAACAAGGATAAATATCGTACATTAATTTGAACAAACCCTGTTTTTTGTGGTATGTATGTGGTTTATAAATGTTGGAGCAAAAGACTGCTGCTAGCGCATTTTATCAAAAGAAAAAATAATTTAAAAACACCAAAATATGAAAATATCTCATTCAGAAGATCAGAATGTATTTAAAACTTCCTAAGGCTTACAACTTTATTTATCTATTAAATTTCCACCATTTATGTCTTTTTAGGACCTTGTAAAAACCCTGGTGATTGTGTCAACATTTCACCAAAGCCTCCATCACTCACACATCGTCCACATAGCAGGGGTAGGGCATCTGCTGGATGTAGATGCCAGTGTTCTGTTTAACTCCAGTCAGAACGTAGCTCACAGCTTTCTCCACCAGGTCCTGAATATAGACAAAGCCGCCCCAAATGTAGCGCATGTCGTTAAATGGGTCAGCAGCTGGACCAGGATCCCAAAATCTGAAAAGGATTTAAAAAAATATATATTTAGGAAAAAGAAAGAAAAAACGCTGGATTTTATTGCCGTTTTTCCAACTAGAACCATTCTAATGCTGAAAACGCACCATTCCAACACAAAGATAAAAATATAATGTAAAACCACTCCATTAAAAGAAATATGAATATATCAACCCAGAAGATTAAAATGTTTAACAAATGAAGAATCCTCCAATACCTGTCCTTGATCTTATTGGTGCGGGTCACATCATCAATGTCCATTCTGATCTTGTAGGTGACGTGGGGCGGGAGCTGCGATGAGGACGTGTTAGGCAGAAGGAAAACCACACCTGCCCAAAACTGTCTGTCCTCCAGAAGCTGGAGAGCTCTGTCAATCAGCTGACCCTCCGTGTCAAGCCCCTCCATTTTATCCAAACTAAAGCACTAAAAAAAAGCACAAAGAGGGCATTATTAACTATTATTAACATAGAGGCAAAACAAGAAAACATTCAGTTCAGTTTCTAAAAAATGAGGCAGAATTAATTTTTTTCTCCAAGATCTTTCATCTGAATATAAAAAGGCTATAGATTCCTGATAAAATGAATGCATTTCAGGGAAAAAATAACCCAACAACAAACAGTGAGATAGAGCAGGTGTGTTGATCTTTATAAGCAAATAAATCAAGGTAAAGTTTGACTGTTCTCAAAGGCTTTTCCAGACCTTTTCTCAATTAAACCTCACTCCAAGAACCATAGTCTGCAATGGGATGTCATGGTCCAAAGGTTTTAGTCAGGAAAATGATATAAAAGCATTAAATGAAGCAGAAAGCAAGACAATCCAGTGAAACACTGAGTGGCTTCAAAAAGACAAGAAAGAGAATGCTAAAAGAGACATCCAAGGAGAAAATTGTGGCGAACCCCAGCAGAGTAAGACATGCAATAACAGTTGACAGCATTCCTTATGTGATCAGACGATGGGGTGTTTATTTTCTAACCAATTCTTTAGTCTTTACTACAGAAACAATATTTTTCAACTGCAAAAATGCTATAAATAAAAGAGGAGATATTTGAAGCAAAGGATTACTGAAAATATTTCACAAACAAGATGACAACAATGGCTCCTATATGTCCTGCCACTGATAAGATCAATGTGTAAAGTAGATAATTGAGCCTGTTTCATGAATCCACCATTATCTAGACGTTGTTCATCAGCCTAGATTTATTTAAAAAAATTTCTGTAAATCAACAATTGCAAAGTAAAAAACCTTGGTGACTTGTGCAAGCATGGCGATAGAGCTTTCAACATTATTGTAGAGGTCCAACCAGGTGGGCGGGGCTCCAGGTTTCCTGGGGACGTCCGGTGAGGGAGTGGAGAGGAAGCGAGCGATCCGTGAGGCCGTCCAGGTTGTGTTTTCCAAACGCATGTTGATCAAAACCGCAATTTCTGGACGCCTCAGCAAATCCTGTTGCAAACACAAACCATGCTAAGGTTAATATTAATGCAGAGGTTAAAAATGTATAAATTATGCATTACAACACAGAGCAGCAGGAGATGAATCCAACCTTTAGCAGCTGAATCTCCACACTGGTCTCCATGTAGTTCTTGATTTGTGGTCCCACCTCCATCCAGGCATCATTCAGATCCTGAAAAATCTGGAGGTCTTCAAATGTTTTGTTCACCTACATAAAAAGTTTAGAAAATCTTTGATGAAGAGATAGATGAGCTTTTTGGTCTAATGAGTTTAAACCTGCGGTACCTCTTTAATGACTTGTCGAACTGCAGGAGTGTCCGGTGTGTAGAGCAGCTTTCCGATGAACAGGGGTTTAATTCCTCGCCATACAATGCGAGACAGAGGATTTGACTCCAGACTTTGGATCAAACCTTTGCAAAAAGGTGCTACAGAAGTAAAGAAAACAGGAAACATGTCATGTCATCATCAACACTAATAAAAATATATTAGGTATCAAGTAATGAAGTACAAATACTTTGTTACTGTACTTAAGTACACTTTTTAGGTATCTTTACTTTACTCCATTACTTATTTTTCTTCCTACTTCTGACTTCTACTGATTACATTTTCACACAACTATGTGTACTTTCTATTCCTTACATTTTTTAAACAAATGTTACTCGTCACTCTTGGCTTCAGTTTAATGTTTCTAAATATTTATTTCACGTCATGTGCTCCATCCAATGCAGATCATTGGTGCCATCCACATCTAGTGAAAACTAGTGTAATTGGATGAGTCATATAACGCAAACCCTCATTGATTAGCTATTCGTCAAATCTGTGCTGATGCCAAATTAAATCATCAGAAGCAAGCAGGTGTTCTTCAAACTGCAAACGTGAATTGTCTAT